CTTAAAAATTAAAGTCTGAAAGTAATACGTATAAGCAGGACACGTGATACCTTTTCTATGCATTCTTGATCTTAACGCTATTCAATATAACATCAAACAAAATGAAGGGAGATGATCTCTAAATTTCACCTCTAACAATTCTGAAAGTTATAACTGATATCTTTCACTTTGGGAAGTAGCGGGTGCTTTAACTTAGGTGCATAATAAAACAGATACAACTCAGCGTACAATATTCAGTTCTAAAACACCTGCCGTAAATTTCTCTAAATACACTTTTGAAAACTTGTAACGACATTTAAAAAATCGGTTTTGTAGCAAAATCCTGGAAACAGACGACAGTGCTTTTTATTTCCAAACTACTGTTCATTTGTTTTGAAGAGCTATATCTGTTAAACATTAGACCGAATGAATCATGCAAGATTCTTCTGTATGACAGCTACAGTAATGGTGAAAACATGATCGAAATGCTTTACTGCAAATGCATGGGAATCATAAAACCTTTCATTTGTTGGTATGCCGTTTAACATTAAACAAAAACAAGGGAGCCCTGAATTAAAATTACTGTCATTTTTAGCAAAGTATTGAAGCAGTATGTGGCACAGAAAATACTAAGATTGACGGGTAATAATCTGTTAAATCTTCATTATCACCACCATTTTCATCATTGTCGTTGTTATCAGTATCATCATCTAATATACAAGACGGTTCGCAAATGTAGACAGATTTATTTATTTATTATTCCTTGGCCACAATATGCCTGATTTGATTTTTATTTCTTTATGTGGATTGTGTCTAACTCATGTCTTGATAAATAAGTAACTGGATAGTGTATGTATTTATATTTTTTAAAATATTTTTACATTCGTTGTGTCCCGGTTATCTATACATGTCTGTTAAATTATATTCTCTTTTTAATTTTGTTCTTAATTGATTTCCCTTGTGCACAATGCTAAGAAGAATCAACAAAAAATACAACCTCCTTAAGACATGTATTTGTTGCATTTAATTTTTTAATCTTTGTTTGAGAACATAATTGTCCGACATTTTCTGTCTAAATTCTCCTAACTCAGTGTATTTGGGGTGAGTGGGTATTTGCAATAGGTATAATGCATCATCGCTGAATGTCATAACAGACGACTGTTTGGAGGAAACCTGTTTGACGTGGGTGTTGAAAAATTGGATCCTACTTGTAGAATGTTAATGGTTGCCGCTCAAACGCAACAACATACTTTGACCTCAACGTCAGCCGTACGGGTGGTCAATGGAACCCAGTCGGACCAATTTGCTGAACGCACCAATCTTCTAGGCTACTTTTAAGGTATTCACTTTAGTGGATTTGCATGCCTTTGAAAAGTCACCTTTGTACTTAAAGCAATATAATGTTGTTCTTCCATCCTAGCATAGAATATTGTCGAAGGGGACGGTACCAACGCTAAAGTCAGTGTTTTATTCCCACGTAGATTTGATTATCATTGATCTAACGAGTACGTAACACCTTGTTAACTTCAGTTATATTAAGACACCGGAATTTATCATCGAAAAGAAACGTTAAGTAAGTTATTTTTCCAAATTTATCTTTAAAGGTTTTTGCTTTTGTAAATTCAATTGTGTGAGATGGAGACATATTTTATTAAGTATTATTACTCCTTTCAGTGCGCATTTTAGTCTGAATGAAGTTTATAAATCTAATATTGATCTTGACGGACGGAAAATCACATTACCCGAAACAGAAAATGTAATACACCATCTACTAATGATACTTTTCTACTTTACGTGCACTCTTTTAGCTTTCAAGATAAATGTACTGAAAATGAAGAATTCGCAATGACAGAATATTTCAATGTAAATAGTTTATATATATATATATATATATATATATATATATATATATATATATATATATATATATATATATATATATATATATATCTCTCTATGTTATATATATATATATATATATATATATATATATATATATATATAGTCTAATCAAGTTATTTAATCAAGGCTTGTTTCCACTTGTCATTATTCTTTTTTTTCTTTCGTATTAAGAAACAATGTCATTTCAACAAATTAAGTGAACGTAGTTCTTAAAAGTAGAGGTAGAACAAGTTAAATAAGATATTTCTAATACACTTAAACTTATGGAATATTTTCTTTTGTTTGTTTAGCATTGTTCATTCATGGGATGTAACTGTTATTGCTTTTGGGCTGAAAGAGAGTCACTCATTTGCCACTTGCGTAGTGAAAATGTGTAAGAATAGGCTATTTCGCAGACCTTCCACCCCCACCCAGCCCCGCCCCGTAAAGAATCGGCTCATTCAGAAACAATCATTTAGTTGTTTTGGTATAAATTCAAGTAGCTTTCTATCGATTCTATATATTACTACGTGCAGAAGGTGCGAATCATCACGACAAAAATGCACCGGTGATATGGTATACTCTGGATAAAGTCTCCACATTTCCCATCCAAAGATGTCTCAATTACCCAAAACACTTCAAAGATATATGCATGTCTCTAATTTCAGCATAAAAAAACTTGTCATTTTATATATTCCCTTCCACATTTAGTTTGTGTCTGATTGCAGCAGGTATGTGAGCTAAGGTGTCATAAATTGCATTTCTAGAATTTTGTGTCATAAACAAACATCTCATTCACGTTCTCTTTTTGTGTATCTTTAATAGAAACAACCTTATTTCATCCTATTACATTGATTGCGTCAGACTGAATTCGTTTACTAGACTGTATATGTCACAAACTTGAGGAGTTAAACCCCTCAACGTGAGTTTTATTTTCTTTTTAAAACAGTCATTTCAATATTAAACCCATGACAAATTGTTTGGAATTAAACATTACAAGACGCATGAGGGCGCCAAATTCACTACCTGAGTATGGCATCCCTCAAATAGAACAAATCCACTTCTGGAGTGTGGCATCCCTCAAATAGAACGAATCCACTACTGGAGTGTGACATCCCTCAAATAGAACAAATCCACTACTGGAGTGTGGCATCCCTCAAATGGAACAAATCCACTACTGGAGTGTGGCATCCCTCAATTAGAACAAATCCACTACTGGAGTGTGGCATCCTCAAATAGAACAAGTCCACTACTGGAGTGTGGCATCCCTCAAATAGAAAAAAATCCACTACTGGGGTGTGGCATTCCTCAACTAGAACAAATCCAATACTGGAGTGTAGCATCCCTCGAATAAAACAAATCCACTACTGGAGTGTGTCATCCCTCAAACAGATTAAATCCACTACTGGAGTGTGGCATCCCTCGAATAGAACAAATCCAATACTGGAGTGTGGCATACCTCAAATAGAACAAATCCACTAGCGGAGTGTGGCATCCATCACATAGAACAAATCGCATAGATCTCGTGGTATTGAACCACACGTACATAATTTTTACATGCATCCTGAAAGTTAAACCTCAACGAGACTTCATTCCCTGCTAATATTTACGTACAGTGGAAGATATGTTTGTCAACTATGTCGGCATACTCTTTGCATTACGTTGATGTATACTCAGTAAAACAAACATTATGATGATGAACCAAAAGCGATAATTTTATTTGATGCGGAATGCCGTTAATATATCAAATTCTGGCAATATTGTTCGTGGATTTTGATTATTTTACTATTATATTATATAGCATGTGCCCAATTTTAACTTCATTACATCTTAAATTTAATCGTTTAGTACTTAATGTTTATTTATTTCGGAAGGTTTTTTCTATCTGTCTGATTTTTGCAAGTCTATAAATTGACGTTTTTTGGAAATTTATTTCTCATTCTCACTATGTTTTATTTGGGAGGAGGGTTGGGGAGGGTTGCTGACGTGCGTTTAAACTATACAACAAAAACTATTAAATAACAGTTGTGAACCAAACTTTTAATCGGTACCATTTCACGACTATATTGCTGCTGATTTGTCGCCACATAATCATCTTAAGCGTGTTACTTTACACGACTTTTATGTGAAATAGTGGCACCTATCGTTATTTCCCATATCTCATACAAAGGTATCTGTAACAACTAAACTATTTACAATGACGATTTATATTGTACGCTCACGAAATATATGAATGTACTTTCACCTTGGGAGTTCAAATACGAATAGTTCAACGGTAGTGGTGTGATTTACAATAAAGAAAAGCTATTTTAATAGCTTAATGAATTTATATTTTACCCTGCTTGAAAAATAGTATGTTCACCAATTGATGTGTGACTTATTTTCCGAATTCAAATATCAGATATTCTGCCGAGGTTGGCCATGATAAAGACTTCATATATTTGGTTTGTTCTTTTGAGATGGTCAGATAACTTTGTTTTAAATATGTATCTATAACACAGTAATGAAAAACTGTCTAATATTTCTAACCATTTTAAGATTTAAACTGAAGAATTCAAAAATTAAACAAGCTGTCCACCTCTTTTTATCCCAGATGTCTCCTACACAACTACTGTAAGGTTCTGTCAACACACGCCATTTGCAATCCATCTGTCCAGCGTTGGCTTTCTGTATCTTTGAGCAGATGAATGGTATATAGACCATCTTGAAAGAGGAAAAACAATAGATCTGCAAAAGCGTCAATATCCTACTGTTGAAATTTTCATGTTTCGATAAGAATAACTGCATGCATAGATACAAGTTACTATTGAAACCACTAGTAATCGATTCAAGGTTACTATGGAAACTACTAGTAATCGATTCAAGGTTACTAAGGAAACCACTAGTAATCGATACAATTTTAATATCTATGGAAACCTCTAGTTCCTTAGAAGCGACGTTTTGAAAATGAAATACAGATTCAGAAGGGATCAAGCGACCAGTTTATGATAAAGAAACTTCAGTGAACTAATTCATTTCTCCACAGTTTATAAAACGAGATGAATCCTCGTGGGATGGATCGAACAAAGATTCGCAACAGGAGAACCGGAATGAGATATTTGTTTATAGCGCACATTATTGAAAATTCATTTCTGACACACCACTCCGGTGGCTTAATGGTTAGAGCATCCGCCTCGGATGAGGGAGGTCGTGGGTTCGATCCCCGGTCGAGTCATACCAAAGACTTACAAAAAAATGGTACTAACAGCTGTCTCGCTTGACGCTCAGCATTAAGAGGTTAGAGTTAGGACTGGAAGGCCTGGTGTAAGGATAATGTGAATGGGTGGGACATCATTCTACATGTCTGCGGCATGATGCCCCAGTGATAGACATCACTATAAACTGCCACACTGCAGACATCGTAGCGATATGACTGAATAATTGTTAAAGCTACGTTAAAAATTATAAACACCACACCTCATTTCTGACACACTTACTGACGACCTTACTGTAGTCAGACACTAATTAAACCAACAGACAGAAAAATGTAGTCTACACATACTACGACATTAATGATGCGCTGAATTATATAAAGAATCATACAAACTGTGTGATATATTAACTTGCGTTCGTATGATAAAAGAATATATTTTTAGGTGAACACAGAATATGCTACTAGTCATAAAATATAATGCTGCTATTCCATAACGTCTGCAAGGCGACTATTGATAATCCGAATTCATCACTCGCAAAAAATATCTATGGAATTATTTCATGTATCTTACTCCTCCAGGCATCCTAAAATCCCATGAGAACCTCGCTTAAGGATGTGAGTTCAAAACCCTTGTTCCTCAAGGTCTGTCCACCAATATGATCTTTCTCCTAAAGTTACCGCAGTTACCATTAACAACAATACCTGGGTCAAAAGCCCATAGCGTTCATCATCTGGCCAGAAGAGACACATATAGAGTAGCTGAACAGTGTAATATACAAGTCACACATCAAAACGTATTTAAGTACGAACACACTTTAATTACCAGCACATTTCAAAATATATTTATATATGAGCACAGCGATATATATATATATATATATATATATATATATATATATATATATATATATATATATATATATATATATATATACATACATACATACATACATACATACATACATACACACACCCACACATACATACATACATACATACATACATACATACATACATACATACATACATACATACATACATACATACATACATACATACATACATACATACATACATACATACATACATACATACATACATACATACATACATACATACATACATACAGAGAGACTGATACACAGAGGAGAGACAGAGACACACAGAGAGACAGACAGACAGGCATACAGGGGATATATTATTTTCATACGTTAATACCATATATATTTCATCGTTTGGTACCAAAATGATATTTTAATAGGTGGCTAAGCGATGTGCGTCGAATGGATGATGGACGGATCCCCAAAGACCTTCTCTACTCTAAGCTTGCCTCAGGCAGAAGATCAATCGGACGGCCACATCTTCGCTTCAAGGATGTCTGCAAGCACGATATGAAAGCTCTTGGGATCGAGTCAACACTGGCGAATGTGTATATGTGAGAAAGCTTGTCAGTAGCTTCTCGTGGGTCGGTGGTTCTTTCCAGTGATTTCCCGGTTTCTTCCTCCACCATTAATACTGTCGGCCATAAATAGCCTATCGTGTGCTGAAAAATGGCGTTAAGCCCAACAACAATAACAACAGCAAAATAGCTATTTGTTGAGGCTGACCATTGGGCAACTCTTGGCACATGTGGACAATATCTACTCCATCAATTCTCACTCATGAAATACTCTATTGGAATGATCAGGTCTCTGAACAAATAGTCTGTCAAACACTCAACCAGTCCACCTATCGTTGTAAAAAGATCTTCTGCCCCAATGATGAACTTGGTGAATGTTCCCCTTTTGTAAATTCATTATATCGAAACTTTTTCCAGCGTTTGCGTTATGTATGGGGAGAACAAGTCATTTGCATGAAAATGCAAAACTACATCCATTGCAATAATGTTTAGTAACGTGCGGAGATGGAGTAACCAATTATCCTTTCTCCACTTCTGACAAGTTTTAATAGGAGCGAATATGTGTCCATATCGTCATTATTTTCAACAAACATGTAATTTGGAGTCTCTCGTCTGATATATGGTCTTGTTCTGCTTCTGTCTGAGCTTTTAATAATACAAATCTTCCTGCAAATCTTTCTTTTGTACTCATTCGCCATTATTGTTTCTTCTAGCTATATCGTTTCTAACTTTGCCACTTCAATTTCCTTTCCTCATTTTATACTTTCTTACCCTTCTGACTAATAGAATATTTAACCGTTCGCTTTTACTGTGTAACACATTTTCTTTTTTCCTCTGTTTGCTGTTCTAATTTTATTGTCTCTGCTGACCTCTTTTTTAATATATCTTCTATTTCCCCCTTTTCCGTCTTTAACTTGACACCCGCAACTTTATCTCAAACGTTTTCATTTCTTTCTCCGATCAGTTTAATATTTATTCCATATCCGAGCTAGTTCCTCCGGAAGTGATGTTCTAGTAGATTCCTCCTGATGCACAAGTGTTTTGCATTATTATGTGATGCATGAAATAATGTCAATTGTCAACTAGTTAGACACTACTGAGAGTACGGATGAAGCTGTGAAAGACGATGGGCATTATACAACCTTTAGGCGTGGTGGCAGATACAAACTTATGAGTATAAGAAAAAACTTAGGGAAAATAAATGATTTAATTGCGGCTGGTTTCAAAAACTTCAGATTGTAATACAGAATTAACGTAGATTTGATTTGTGAGCAAGAAAGAAAAATATTTTGTTGAAACAAACAAACGAAAGACTAAAAGAAAACGTAAGGATGGTAACCTAATAGAGGTTGACTTTTAGGAGCGTTTGAATAATAGTTATCGTTTCTGTGATCCCGGTATCGACAATCTTGTATCTGGCGATAGACATATATTAGACTCTAGTCTTAACACGTATATTACGTTTTATGTTGCTGCGGTTGTTGAATCATTGCGAAAAATAAACTTGTGGCGTTGACTAAATATTTGCAGCACTAGATATTGTTCTTTGTTTCCTGTCTAATCCCAACGGAATTGTCTAGATGTTTTGTACGGTGGCCTTATCGTGGACAACTGTAGATGATGGCCCTATCGTTAATAACTATAGACTATTATCGTGGACAACTATAGACTTTGGCGTTATTGCAGACAACTATACGGGATAACGCTTGTTGAAATACTTAGTAGTATAATCATATTTCCTGAATGCAAGATTGTTTAAAGAAATCAATACTTACAACTAATTTACTGACAATTACATTTTGTGTTTGTCAAGCTCATAAGTCAATAATTATTTTAAAAGCTTTAATCACTAGCAATAAACTGTAATATGGCTTTATTTGTTTTTGCAATGGATTTTGTTAGTGTTATTAGATCCTTCCTGAGGTTCAAAGAATATATTAGTTCAAGGCTGATTCAGCCTTTAATAGTTCTATTCGTCAATAAGGCCGCGTAATAAACATAAAAGGTCTCCAAATCTATTCAGTCATCTATTGGTTTCAGGAAAGGTAGTCTTTTATTACTGTTATTATCTAAATTCTCTTTTTAATATAATAAGCTGTTTAGTTTGCTATATGCACTAATAAAAAAAATCCATGGGTGCTCTAGAGCCAGTGTTAAATAATTTTGAAATAGTGCTGATCGAGATTATCTTTACAAGTGCACACTAATTAGACCAACATTAAGATACAATAAATAAAAAGGATTTACAATTGGTACTTCGATTAGTATGCGAACAAACTAGCTAAGCTCTTCGATTCTTTTAAATAAATTGGAAAGATGTGTTTTAGGAATGGAGAATGGTTCAGAACACAAAAATGCTTTAGTAAATATAACTTTTTTCTTAGAGAAGTTGTATAGCATTTCGTAATGTGTCTTTTCAAGTATCAGAAAATGTTATATATTTGATGCGTTAATAATTTTGTGTCTTTCTATTGATTTTGTGGCTTTACTATAATGATTAAATGGAGACAGTTATATATATATATATATATATATATATATATATATATATATATATATATATATATATATATATATATCGAAATGTACAAATCTGATTACATTATTTTGAAAATAAAAATGGTAACACTTTTATTGTTCTGTGATTCTGTCAAACTGAGTTCCAATATAGATTAAGATGGTTAAATAGTGGGCTTTCCAATCCATTGCATTGCAAATGAATCAGAAGTATATTTTATTTTATGGCAGAATAATTACAATGGTGTGAAACCCCATAGTCAAATTAAACCAAGATCATATGACCAGTTTATATCATGAATGGAGTCCATATCCGCTGCTAGCAAAGTGACTGGTTAAGAAACGAGTAAATGCAATTTTAATTTGAAACTATACCTGTGTGCAAATATAAATGATAAATAATTATTCGTTCTAGAACAGTAGCACATACTCATCTTCTAGAATTAGGTCCATATAGAAACATTTTCAGACAGACAAAGCCAGTATATTCATGATGTGAACAATGAAGTCAATACGGATCACCCAGCTCAGATAAAATCTCTTTACAAAATATGTCTTGCACTCTTGAGACTGCCATAAGCAGAATGTCGAAGAGGTTAAACGCGAAGCATGAGAAAACATGTGCTTTACTGTGAAAGTGCCCCTTAATATAGATGGCGAGTCGTACACCAGATCAGCTATAGTTGAGAAGAAGAGAAGAAACCTACCAAAAATGCGTCTGTATAAGACAGCTATTATTTACATTCATGACCCTAGCAAGATCCATTGTGAGTAATTAACCAAACCATCGGCGATAAAAAAAACTCAGATGATTATTGTCACAGTGTGGAGCATAATATCCCTAATACTATAAATGAACTATTTTTTATTGTATCACACGAGAAATCAGAAAAGAAATGGCCTCAGTGGTGTAAGAATCATGGGATTACGTAAGATTCCGAACTCTATCAAACAAGAAACTGATCAGAATCTTCCCGCCAAAACAGCTGTAGCCCCATGGTGACGTTAGACATATTTTCCCTAAACCAAGTAGAGAGATTAAAGCATCTACAAGATTCCCAACATGAGCTGAGCTCCTATCGAGCTCTTTAGTAGAAGCATTTGG